TCAAATATAACTTAAGTAATAATGTAAATTGAATTATTAGTGAGAAAAATGTAATTTAGTTATTAAAATTACTAAAAGCCAGTTAAAATATGGTACGAAATTATAAAAATTATAGGTACCATTATTGAAGCAATTATTTTGTGTAGAAAAATCCAAGGTGATATTGTACCTTTACCGCGAATACTATACATTAATTCTTTCTGAATTTGTTATACCTTATGCTATAACCATAAATACATCACAAAGCCAGACGATGATTTTTGTGTGATAAATTTGAAAAATCAATTGTTTAGTCGCGAATAAACAAAAATCATTTATTTGTACATCCACATCTACAGGTATGACTAAAAATATTGGATAAACCTTGGCATTAAAATAAATCGAGCTATTAGAAATAAATTTGTTCTATAAATTGCAGTGTATAATTTTTAATATACAATTTTATTTAACATATTTTAATATTTGTTAAAGGGTTCATTAAAGTGTTAACTTTGGGAATTGAGAATTATCATATTATTTGAAGCAGTTCTACATTTAACATCACTCATATATTGGTGTAAAATTTACACTGTAAATAGTAATTTGAACTAGTTGCTGGGACTTTCCGTCTCGTAACGAAATGTTCGAGGAATATTGAATATTTTCAAATATATTATTATAAATATTGTAACATTGTCTACTATTTATAAGAATTATATAAATTGAATTGCAAAGTTGAAATTATTTGTTTAAAGTATATTAGAACTTTAGTCAGTCAAAACCTGAATTATAATCGATATACAAAAAAATTTTTTTGAAAAAAAAATTGCAAAAAAAATTTGAAACAATTTTTTTTTCCCAAAATCAATTATTTAGTTAAAACAAGCAGAAAGTTCTTTGAATCATTTAAATCGGACGCTTAGTTCTCTCAAAAACTGCCATTTTTTACACATTTAGCTTCGTACCTTCGAAATGGCTAGGAATGCTTTTGCCAAAAACTAAAAACCACTTCTCCCAATCATTAGTAATTGAATGTTTTTTGGATCATTCAAATCGGATGCTCCGTTCTCTCAAAAACTTGATTTCTATTTTTTTCACTCTTTGCCTTTTATCTTCGTAACTGCTGGACCTGTCTTTGCCAAAAACTAATCAGCACATCTCCCTATCAATAGAAATCGGATGTTTATTGAACCATTCAAACCATTGATCAGTGCGGCCGAAAACGTAGACGAAAATTTGTATCTATACATACGTACACACACATACACATCCATTTTTATTGAGGTATGCCAAAATGTTCAGAAACCTTCAAAACGCGAAGAAATGTTAAAATTTTCAATTTCGATTTTTGGACAATTATAATAACTTACCCTGCGGGAAGTTAAAAATTAAAACTAAATTATCAAAACAAATTTTGAAAGCACAAAAGTATGTTCCAAGTTGGCTAATACACATTGGCACAGACACTAGCACAATCAAAAATAAAACTAGTTGAAAGTGGCATTTAGCCTTAAGGCAAGTTGCATAAATTTCCCGAAATGTGTAAGAATTGACTTAATCAATCGAAATTTAAATTTATATATTTTGGCTTATTATTTTAACTTTTAATGAATTGATAATGTTTGACTCATCACATCACAAAAGCAACTTTTAGCACAAATTTTGACTATAATAGTTTCTCAAACATTGATGAATTTTTAACATTAAAATATCTGTCGTAGGGCCGTAACATTTTAGTCTGTTTTATAGGGCCGTATATCTATTACCAGAAAAGGTTCATAAAAATCGACAAAAATTATTTCTGCAACAGTTAATTTAAAGAAAACGGCTGGGTAGATTTTCACCTAAAACTAATCAGTATCATTCGCAAACAATATCTTTCGAAAAGTTTTTGAATTTCCAAAATCGATTCAGAATTGCAGGCTAAAGCGTAGACAAATTTGTTACCAATTTTCTGCTATTTGCAGAGAAACGGCATTGCTGATCGTGCGCAAAAGTGATAAACGCAAGTCCTCATCGAAATACAGCGAATAGCTTTAAAAATTTTGAAATCGGTCCAGCCGTTTATGAGAAAATCTGTTCACACACACACACATAATTTTTCCAAATTTGACTCAATTCTGAATGGCTTAAAACGCAAAGAAAACATAAAATTAACGAATCGATTTTTTTTTTGAAAAGTAAATAATCACTCTCACATACAAATATATAAATCGACCAGCTGATCACCGAAACCTGCTCTCCGGACGACTTCAAACAACTCTACCAGGGGCAAAAAAAGAAAATAACTTACTAACCAACAATAGAAAAGACCTTCGTCAAATCACTAGAAATGGCCATATGATTTGTACTTCAATAACGCCTTCAATTCTACATTAAATATTTTACTTGTTTATCGTTTCGGGGCAGTTATGAAAATCATTATTTAACTAGTGGAGTATAGCATCGTGCCTTAAGGCAAATTGCTGGAACTTCCCGTACCGTAACAAAATGTTCGAGGAATATTAAATGTTTTCAAATAGATTATTATAAATATCGTAATATTGTCTAATTAAAAAAAAAATTATAAAGTTGAATTATAAATTATAAAAAAGAATTGCAAAGTTGAAATTATTTGTTTGAAGTATATTAGAACAGAATTAAAAATAAAATCTGGATTACTTTCATTTTGTTGAAACAAGCAGAAAGTTCTTTAAATTTTGATTAAAAAAACGGCAATCTTTTGCACATTTAGCTCTTTATCTTCGAAATGGCTGGACCTGCCTTTGCCAAAAATAATCACCTCTTCTCCAATCATTTCAAATTGAATGTCTTTAAATCATTCAAATCGGATACTCCGTTCTCTCAAAAACTCGATTTGTATTTTCTGCACTCTTTGCTCCAAAAACTAATCAGCACATCTCCCTACCAATAGGAATCTAATGTTTTTTGAACCATTCAAATCGGTTGATCCGTGCGCCCGAAAACATGGACAAAAATGCGAATATTCAAAACACACACACACAACATCCATGTTTACTTATCTATGCACATCAGAACACATCAGAAAAAATGGTTTCTGAAGTATGCCAAAAAGTTCAGAAACATTCAAAACGTGAAGATGTGCAAATATTTTCATTTTTGTCCCATTACTATAATTACCCTACGGTAAGTTAATAAAAAATAATAGATGCATAGATAAATAAGCATGATACGATGTTTGTTTGGAGATTACCGGCCATTATGGGCATTTACTCAATATACTCATTACTGTTCTTTTATCATGTTATCATGTTGATTTGAAAAAAAAATTGTTTGAGATCTTAATTTTTGTCGGCTTCAAATCTCTACACAGCATGTTTCTTAAAAGAACAGTAATGAGTATATTGAGTAAATGCCCATGATTTATCTATGCATCGTATAATATGAAATCGACCGCACAGATAAAAGAAGAATGTGGAATGAACAACATGGCAAATAAAACTCGATATCGGGAACTCGGATATCGATTATTTTTCTATTATTTTTTTATTAACTTACCGTAGGGTAATTATAGTAATGGGACAAAAATGAAAATATTTGCACATCTTCACGTTTTGAATGTTTCTGAACTTTTTGGCATACTTCAGAAACCATTTTTTCTGATGTGTTCTGATGTGCATAGATAAGTAAACATGGATGTTGTGTGTGTGTGTTTTGAATATCCGCATTTTTGTCCACGTTTTCGGGCGCACGGATCAACCGATTTGAATGGTTCAAAAAACATTAGATTCCTATTGGTAGGGAGATGTGCTGATTAGTTTTTGGAGCAAAGAGTGCAGAAAATACAAATCGAGTTTTTGAGAGAACGGAGTATCCGATTTGAATGATTTAAAGACATTCAATTTGAAATGATTGGAGAAGAAGTGATTATTTTTGGCAAAGGCAGGTCCAGCCATTTCGAAGATAAAGAGCTAAATGTGCAAAAGATTGCCGTTTTTTTAATCAAAATTTAAAGAACTTTCTGCTTGTTTCAACAAAATGAAAGTAATCCAGATTTTATTTTTAATTCTGTTCTAATATACAATTGTCTAGACAATATTAGAATTTAATGTATTCATATAGACCAGCGATGTCCAACCTAAATTACTCTTTGGGCTAAAATTTAGAAATATTCAAGGCACTGGGCCGCAACAAATCTGGAAAACTAGTGGTGCATGGCATCGCGCCTTAAGGCAATTTGATGAAACTTCTCGTACCGTAATTCCAAACTTTTAAAAGCTTTAATATTTATGAAAACTTTGAAGAAATTAGATTTTTGAGAATCTTGATATTATTGAAAAAAAATGAATTTTTTGAAAAAAATGTTTTTTTTGTATTTTAAAACTGTTTGTTTGTTTTAATCGTAATATGAACATTTTTTCAGAGATAACTCCGCACGATTACAAGCATATGGACTTATAGACTGGTGAATGACTCGTGAACTAGTGAAGCCAATTCGTCCATAGAGCCGCTAGTCGCGCCGTTGTCCGTTGCAATGACAATTATTTGTCGTTTTCTGTCAAGCGCTATCCATAGAGTATCATATCGCCATGTATTAATTCGATTAATAACCCTAATGACCATTATTTTCGGTTAAAGCTGACTTAGTGTTCAGACTTCTATATTAGCCTTTACCTTTAAAAATTATTTTATTTATTTAAATTGAAAATAATAATTTGTGCGATTGTTGTTTGTCATGGGCCCGCACAAAAACCGCCATCGGGCCGCAGGTTGGCATGGCCGATCTATAACATATTTAGTCCATGGTCTTTTGCTTTTTGCTTGACTTGACGATAAAATTCTCGCTTGACAGTAAAATAATTTTGTAACAGATTTTTTAACGGTTAAAGAGTCGATTTCGATGATTACTGCAATTTTTAGTGTTTTATTAGACTTTAATATATTATTTTTATAAGGTTTAGATGTGACTGAGCAATTTGTTTTTACTTGACACAGCAACAGGATTATTATAGTTCTGAAATAATTGATACAAAAAAATATTAACCTCTAATAATATTACTTTCAGTAGTGTATAAGATATATTTCAGTAGTGTAATGATATAAGAGTATCGAATAAGTTTGTTTTCCAACTATGAGGAATTTTACTCTGGTTTTATATATATTTATAAGTATTTTATTTAGGGAAAGTTCAAGTTTTATGGATTACATTTGGCCAAAGTCGGAATGTTTGTATTCATGATACAGTAGAATTTTTAAATATGTACGGTGATTTAATTTTATATATTTATCATCCAGCCACATCATATGAGGACACTGACATAAAATTGAGAAATATTCCATTTGAACTTAATGAAAATGATGAAAAGTTTTTGCAGCACGCTAATGAAATAATGGGATTAAAAACATCTGATTTAGATAAATGTTATAATAGGGTAATGATTATTATGTAATTTTACACAATTTTAGTAATCAATTATTTGCAAATTTGGTTCAAATAGTTTAATTTTAGGTCATATTTATTTTAAAAAAATCTTGCCATGATTTAAATAGTGAAGAGTTAGGAAAACTGGCTGTATTGCTGTTAAATTGCCAATCAGCTATCGAAGGAAGAGAATTATATCCCTGCACCGAGAATATGGTTGGTAGCTTATTTTAATGACTAATAATTAAAATATTATTCAAAATTTAACCCAGTGTTGAGTAAAACGTAAACATATAAATTAGTATATAAGTTCTTGTAATTTTGTTCTGTTGGTTTATGAGTTGACATATCTCTAATTTAAATATGATCACTTGTAGTTTGTTCAATATCCGTTGTCAAAAATAAATCATAGTAAATAAATCTTCTAGTCACTAAAGGATTGCACTTCTGATATGAATCCAGATACTTGGAATGCCTACCATCTGATCACAAATCGTGCTAAAGCTGTTTGTTATCGTATTCGACAAGAACAGTTTCAAGGACTAACAGAAATTACAGTTAATAAACTTATGAACACAGGTAATAAGCACAATAGTTTATTATAATTATTATGTAAAAGAATATTGATAAGTGTTAATTGATACATAAAATGATCTAGTAAATGTTCAAGTAAATTGAATTAATAGAAGCCTATAAATTCTTCTGGTAATAAGATACATACTCATACTTCTTCTATAGCCTGACGTAATACCTTCTGTATAGGATTAATCCTATAAAGTGTATTTTTATGCACATATTCATTTTATACTTAGCGAAGTTTTCAATGCATTTCAGATCTTTGTGAAATCATGTACAGAAATTACCAATACTTTATTATACTTTAAGCAAAATATCATAAACTTTATAACTTCTTATAATTATATGGTAGAAATATCAAACTCAAATTATGGTATACAAATCACAGAATGCAACTGTACATAAATAATCAAAATTTAATTGAACACCTTTGATTATACTTTTTTTTTCAACATTATAATAATATTGATGAATATGTACAAATCCACTTCTTAGCATGCCTTACACTAATGATAAGGCCTTACACTTACGATAAGTATAGGGAAAATTAGTTTCAGTATCATCAATTTACTTTCAAAATTCACTCTAGAACAATTTTTATTATCTATGATATGGGCTAATAATTTTAAATATTAATAATAAATAAAAAACAATCGAAAAACAGCAATCTTAAACTTATAGTTATCAACAGTGAAAAAAATTGCAATGTAAGCCAAAGAATGAAGGTAGTTTACCTTCGTAATCAAATATTGTATCACACTCATGCATTATGTTTGCTTATAATATATCAGATACGAAGCATTCTCAAAATGGGATTAATATGCAGGATAAACTTTCTCTTCCTGTTTTTAAATTCAATTATAAAATTCTTAGTCCCAGTAATATTATATAAAATTATCTAGATTATTAGATTTTATTCTTTGAAATATTGAACAATGAAAAAAAATTTTTTTTAAACAAAAAGAAGCAAGAACCAATCTTACAGGCATCGCCGTTCAGACATTTTTCTTTGAATTAGTTTATAACTGAAATAAAAAAAAAATAGTTGTGACTTGTGCATTGCCATTATGCACATTAATTACGGTAATTTGCCTTAATTATGCCTTAAGGCAAATTACCGTAATTAAACATTCGATGAATAAAGAAAATCAAGAATAAATCAAAATTGTCATAAATTAATAACAATTGTATTCAAAAATTTAATTAATTTTTAACTTCCCGTTGGGCGAGTTAAAGTAATCGCAAAAAAATCGAAAATGAAAATTTTTGTTTATCTTTCCGTTTCTAGATATTTTGGCATACCTTAGAAAAAATTGATATTTTGGCATAAGGTTTCTGAATATTTTGGCATACCTTAGAAAAAAATTGATGTATGTGTGTGTGTGTGTATTTGTGTGTGTGTGTGTGCAGATACAAATTTTCGTCGACGATTTCGGGAACACCGATCAACCGATTTTAATAATTCAAAAAACATTCGTTTCGTATTGATAAGAAGATGTGCTGATTAGTTTTTGGTGTAGGTAGGTCCAGCCGTTTCGAAGATACAGAGCAAAAAGTGCAGAAATTCCGATTAGATCCTAGACATCCGCTCATCGAAAGGGGTTCGAATCCCACGTCTGTAATATTTAAAAAAAAAATTTTTAAATATTTTTATGCTTGTATAGTTGATGCTACATGAACTCTTTAAAATTGTTAACTCAGTGCATATATTTCGCGAACCAAAAATTGATGCATTTGAAATAAGATATGTTCATTCTAACAATAAATCCGCTTAATTAGATTTTGTTTATATATATTTCATTTCAACGTCGTCTTATCTAATGTTTTCACATTTTGCTTACAACGAACAAATAATGAGAAATTTAGTTTTTATAATATTTATTCATAGACATTTTTGTTGACTGATTATTTTTATTCTTCGAATGTTTAATTACGGTACGGGAAGTTACAGCAATTTGCCTTATGGCACTATGACTTGCGCCCCACTAGTTAACACAAATTTTCAAATAGATTTTAAACACTAAAATTATTTATTTTAAATATATAAGTGAGCTTTAAAATTCTTGAAAATCGAATAAAAACCCGAGTATATTTACCGCGGAAACAATAATATAATTACCAATTGGTATCATAAACCAATTTACTCAGGTCGATACCTCAACTATCTTTTTTACCACCCTCTTCCTACTAAAAAAGGCATCATTATCAATTTAATAAATCATGCTTTACCATTGTCACATAAGAAATTTTTGAAGAATAGCCTCTCATTAGTATCACAAATCTTAAGTAACAATTCTCATCCTCAACATTTGATCTAATCTCCATAACCAGAAACAAAATTTTGTCCTCCAAAACCGACGCAAAATTTAAAATGAAAATCCAAACCGCGAAAACTACGTGGGAACTCTAACCGTACACTTCATAAACGATCTTTAATACCATGGAAAAAACTCTTCATTAAACATAATGTAGTCTTGAGTCATTGAGTAGTCTTTACCTCAAAAAACACTTTTTCAACCTTATGCTGCCAGTACAAGAACACCCATATAAAGTCGCTTTGCAAGAGCGACGAGCGAGCATTAGGCTCGTCTCGATAAACTCTGTATATATGGAAATATTTATTAAAAACCAAAATTTATTTATATCTTGTATATAAGTATATTCATTACTCATAATAAAAAATCCAACGCGCCGAATAAAAATAATAATTATTATTAACTTCCCGTAGAGTAAGTTATTGTAATGGGCCGAAAATCGGAATTGAAAATTTTTACATTTCTCGACGTTTTGAAGGTTTCTGAACATTTTGGCATACTTCAGAAAAAATGGATGTGTGTGTGTGTGTATGTATGTATGGATACAATTTTTCGCCCACGTTTTCGGGCGTACGGATCAACCGATTTGAATGGTTCAAAAAACATTCGATTCCTATTGATAAGGAGATGTGCTGATTAGTTTTTGGCAAAGGCAGGTCCAGCAGTTACGAAGATAAAGAGCCAAGAGTGCAGAAAATAGAAATCGAGTTTTTGAGAGAACGAAGCATCCGATTTGAATGATCTAAAAAACATTCAATTAGTAATGATTGGGAGAAGTGGTTATTAGTTTTTCGCAAAGGCAGGTCCAGCCATATCGAAGATACGGAGCTAAATGTACGAAAAATGGCAGTTTTTGAGAGAACAAAGCGTCCGATTCAATTGATTCAAAGAACTTTCTGCTTGTCTTAACAAAATAATTAATTTTGGAAAAAAAAAAATGTTCCAATTTTTTTTTCTTTTTCTTTAATTTTTTGTCATCGAAAATAATTCAGATTTTATTTTTAATTCTGACTATAGTTCTAATATACTTTAAACAAATAATTTCAACTCTGCAATTCAGTTTATATAATTCTTATAAATATTAGACAATGTTACAATATTTATAATAATCTATTTGAAAACATTCAACATTTATACATATCGAACACTTCGTTACGGTACGGGAAGTTTCAGCAATTTGCCTTAAGGCATGATGCCACCCACCCCACTAGTTATTCATTATTTTCATTCGCTGTATAAGCTTGTGACTAATATATTTCAATGTATAACCAATATAATCAAAAACTTAAGGTTTCAATATTTTTCATATATTAAAAGTATATTGAACTAGTTGGTTTGGTATTTAGCCTTGAGGCAAGTTACATGAACTTCCTGATATGTGTAAATAATCGTCTTAATAAAAAAAATGTGAAAATAATATACTTCATCAATCCTACTTAAAAAAAACGATAATAATTTTAGCAAAGTTTGACGAATTTTTAAAATTAAACTACTTGTCGTAAGGCCGTAATATTAAGGTAAGTTCTATGAGACCATGATGTATATCGCCAAAAAAAGTTCCATGAAAATCGGCTTAAATTTTTTTTTCAACAGTTCATTACAAGAAAACGGCTCGGTAGATTTTCACCTAAAATTAATCAGTACCATTCCCAACTAATATCTTTCGAACAGTTTTTGATTTTTTAAAATCCGTTCGGTAGGATGAGCTTAAATGTGCACGAAAAGTTTAACACTTTTTTTCAAATTGGAAAAAAACGGCTTGGCAGATAGTCCCCACCGAAATACATCAAATGGCTTTTAAATTTCTAAAATCGGTTCAGGCGTTTTTGAGGAAACGTCGATCAAAAGTCTAATTTTGACAAATGCCAAAAAAACGATACCAATTTTTCCAAACTTTGACAATTTTTTAAAGCTAAACCAGTTGTCGTAGGGCCGTAAAATTTTAGTATGATCTAGAAGACTATGGTATCTACCGTCAAAAAAATAATCATGAAAATCGTCGAAATTTTTTTTTTTAAACTTTATTACAAGAAAACGGCCCGGCCGATCTCTACCAAAAACTAATCAGCACGATTCCCAACCAATATCTTTCGAACGGTTTTTGAATTTTCAAAATCGATTCAGAATTGCGGGCTAAAACGTAGACGAAAAATTTTTCACTTTTCTGTGATTTATAAAGAAACGGCTTGGCCGATCGTCGCACAAAACTGACAAACAATAGTTCTCGTCGAGATACATCGAATGGCTTTTAAATTTTTGAAATCGGCCCAGCCGTTTTCGAGAAAACGTCGATTTACGGCAAAAAATCTGTTCACACACACACACACACACACACACATACTTTTTCCAAATTTGGTCTCATTCGATTCAGAATGTCTTGAAACGTCGAGAAAACATAAAATTAGAGAATCGGATTTTTTGATGAAAACAAACTTCTCCTTCGGGAAGTTAAAAATATATCTCGATGAGCAATTTGTCTACACATACATAACACATAGAATGTCACAAATTATAACGTTTAGTTTAGATATAATAATTACAGATGAATTAATAATTGTATATATAATAAATGAATCTTTAACACAGTGGTTTCCAACCTTTTCTTCTTTGCGCCCCCCTTTCGAAAGAAAATAATTACCCCCGCCCCTAATTTTTCTAACAATTTAATTTAAATATACTTAACTGAAATTATAAATCATTCAATGTCGTACCAAATAATACACAATATTATAAAAAAATATATATAAAAACATAACTATTGATTATAAGAAAAAATAATTTTAAATTTGATTAAAACAAATCATAAAATAATAAGCACAGCAATAAAAACAAATAATGCGATGGTTGAGCTTGTTTTAGCACAAATTTTTTCAAACCGCGGAACCATTGTAGAAACAGCTGTTTTCAATTCCTTTTCTATCACTAAGCGATATCGGTACTTTGTTTCTAAGACTGCTACTGCAGAAAAACCAGTTTCACATAAGAAGTCACAAATGGTAATAAAATTTCTAAAGCTTTATTTGTGAAAGTAGGAAAATCGTCCTTTACTCGTAACCAAAACCCAACAATATTCTTTTCGTCCTGAAACATATGCTTCAATGCGCTATCACAAGATAAATCAATTATTATTTTCTGCTATGCTTTTGGAAGACCAAAATCATCATATTTCTCAATGCGAAATGAATTTCTAATCCATTTGTATTTGGAAATATCTATCTATAACTTTAAAGTAATGCGAAACTTGGTTCCTTAGACTAGTCATATGATTGATAATAAGCTCTTTACTTGATTCTATTCCATCAGTAACACAAGTCATTTTAGATTAAAAATGATTTTTCTATATATCAAAGCGTATATCTCCAGCACAACTAATGAACTAATTCGATTTATAGATAACAGAATAAAAAGATTGCTTTTGTTTATTTATTTTATTTTACTTAGTATCGAGTAAGCTTCAATTTCGTTTTTTTCAAGCACTGAAAATAAATTACTGCTTGTTGTATTTTTCTATGCCGTCACATACGCAAAAATAATGAAGTTTTTGATGATCCAACAAAATGTTTTGAATTAACACTCCTTAAGTAAGTGGTTGTGATTCGACCAGCAGAATGGGTTCAATGAAACAAAGTTCAAAAGCTGCATCGCTGGATTTCGTACAAAAAAGTCTACCGCACTTAGCTTGACATAAATTAATTACCCAAAATATCGGCTTCGGTTTGAATATATTAAAAGTAATTTGTACATTAGATGCTTTACATTTTGACACATTAAGAGCTTGAGCGCAAACAGATATTTGGATAAATGCTGACTAAACGCTACAAAATTTGCATTGATTAAACCTTATTTGGCTACGAGAGAAAAAATGGTAAATTGTACCCACGGCAAATGACGAAACTGCCACTGCCGGAATTGTTGATCGTGCCTTGTAAATGTTCCTCTAATTGTCAAAAAACAAAGGCTTGTTCTTGTACAAAATTAAAATGAAATTATATTTACTTACGACGAAACTGCCACTGCCGGAATTGTTGATCCTGCCTTGTAAATGTTCCTTTGATTGTCAAAAAACAAAGGCTTGTTCTTGTACAAAATTAAAATGAAATTGTATTTACTTTGCAAATGTATCAGTAATTATTGTCAAAATAAAAAAGATTGATTTCTGTTATTTGCGCCTGAAAGCTTGTGTTAAAATTTGATTTGGGGCATGAAATATTTTTTATCAACTACTATTACAATTTTATTTTATTTTTAGTCGCCTAGCTATAAATATCTCTAATGTTAAGAGGTATTACCCCTTAGATTAGAGACATTATCATCGTAAGACTTGATTTTTAAAGAAGTGGGTATAAAAAAATCTCGGCCAGCAGAACTTCTGGCAACATTCAGAATGATAATCAGCGATTTTTTATGAATTCAAAACAATCAACCTCATATTATGCATACTCTATCAATGCCTTATACAGCACCCGCTCTATAGGGAACTAGGTACCATACAAATCTATAGCAAAGCTGTAACATTTTCCACTTTTTCATTTTTTTTCAATCTTAGTTAATTCGCTGGGAATGCCACACAACATTTTAATTTAAAAATGAATTGTCGGATTTTGCTTCGTAAATCTAAAATTAATGAAGAAATGCAAAACAGCGGTAATAATATATCAAAATGTTGAAACTTTAAATATGCTATTCCAATTTAAATATAATCAGTCTCAGATTTCAAGCACTTGCAAAGATTGTTAATATAACAGGAAACATTTATATTTTTTGTTAGCTGCTCTTTTCATTTATATATACCACATTTGCAATTGGTTTGTTGTTTTTATACTAAACATTTTATACTAGACTAGATGACCCGACAGACGCTGTCCTGTGTCCATGTCTACAATTTTTTAATAAAATGTACTAATATTTACCGTTTACCTAAAAATGATAATTATTGTTTTTTAAATTACTCTTTACGCCAAAATGCATATACATTTATAATATGAGCGATGATAATTGTAGAACTGCTTTAAATAAAATGATAAGTCTCAATTCCCACACTATATTGGAAATTAAAGTCTTTTAAACGGTATAACA